AAAAATCACATACTAGATGTTTCGCAACCGGTCTTCCTTTTCAGTTCAACCTTACTTGTAAAGTAACTTCCGGTATGGTCAGTGGATAGTTGCCAGTAGCTTATACCCTTTATTGAAAACTCAGGCCAGAATTTGATAGCTTTCATTACCGCGCTTGAAGAGACAAATAGCAGTTGCCTAAAATCACTCTTTATGTCTGATGTAGAAGGATGGAGTGCTTTCAGTTTGTGCTTGTCATATCACATTAAAATACATCAAACTTGTTTCAAGTTTTCGATTTGAAGCTCAAAAGTACTGCCATATATGGGCTATATAGGTGTGCCGCTATGAAGGGTATGGTTTCCAAGCAGTATACTCTGGGGTAGGGTATATAAATCAGAGAGTTTGGGTCTAGAATAAGGGTATCATTTTCCAGGAAACTGATCAATTGGTTGAAAACTTTAGTCTAGAGTAAGGAAACCGGGAATTACCACTCAAAAATATATAAAAAAATCAAATCGGTTTTGTTTTGGCTGGACTGTGCTAATAACCGTAGTTTCTGGACGAAATCAGCTACTCTAAGATAGGGGGGATTTGGGGAATTTAATGTAGTATAGGGTAGCAAAATGCAGCTGAACTAGCGAAGTCTGATATGTACATGTCATGTCCTCCTCCGAATGAAGGCCCGTATGATAGAATATCTTCTATGGAATATTGCCTTCTGGAGCTATATTTCCCTGTCTGAGGCAGCTTGACGGGCGCCCATCCTGGCTTGTTGACAAGTGAGAATAAAAAGGCGTTTGAGTCGTACCAATACCTAGAGCCAGAACCTACAAGAAAATAGAGATGGAATAAAAGTGCCATTTGGGATATTATTCTGATACTCAGTGACACATGCCACAAGATAAAGGTTTGTTTATATTTTATACCTTCCTTCACACTGATATATGTATGTTTTTGTAGAATGAACACCAGACACATCGAAAAAAAAAAAAAAAAAAAAAAAAAAAATGAGGGCGCGATATAGCACTGTCTTTTTGCAAGCCCAGTACTAAAGTTACCAATAGCTCATGGATACGTCATGGATAGTGTCGCGGGTTTAATTCTTATCTGGAACTCAATATTTTTTTTAGTTCTTCGCTTGTCAACATATCATGGCCCTGCTTACATCTATACCCTCGACAAGAATAACTCCAAACACATCCAATTAAAACGAAAAATGTAAATCACTGGGTCGCCTAGTAATATACAATTAATGGAACAAAATTTACAGATGCTAAGTGCATTATAAATTATTGATAAAATAACCATGAGAATGTGTCAGGAGCCTGCAGTGTTTTATTTTTAAAATGAAACTAAAATTGCTTACAATAAAACCTCCCGCAAGCAGCCACTTTTCAATCGGGGTCCTGAAACCTAAGAGACTGTTCGCTTACAGGAGCTAAGGTTTCCGTCTATGAGAGCTGTTTAAAAGCAAAAATTTGCAATTACAAAGCAATAGATTCGAGCAAAAAATATTTGAAGAATAATAAAGAAAACGTCGGGTGATTAGATATTTCCTGCTTAAACTGTCTAGTGTAACACATACCTAACAACCACATTGCTCTATATAATAATGTAACCATGTATTATGTTCTCTAACATTTCGTAGCCTCTTTTCATACAGCTGATAAGAGGTTTTTACTTATAAGCTTACTGGGACAATCGATTTTAGAGATTGTTTAGTTAATTTTAGTGATCATCAGATACTGCATATTTAAGAAGACACAACAAGCTCATTACTTAAACATAAAAGCCGGTTGTAGCTCATTAGAGTCATTTAAGTTGTTTCGTAAAACGTTTCTATTTCCCCTGGTGTGAACTGGTATGTTCCTGCCAGGAATGTTTTGCCGAAGGTGTTGCCGTAGCTGTACCCGCTCGGTGGGCTGTAAGTAAAGCCAAGGTTGCTATATGAATTGCGATGGGAAGATGCGTAGTTTGATATGTGAATGTCATGTCCTCCTCCGAATGCAGGCCCATATGATGGGTAATCGTCTATGGAATGTTTCCTTCTGGAGCTATATTTCCCTGTCTGAGGCAGCTTGACGGGTGCCCATCCTGGCTTGTTTACAAGTGAGAATAAAAAGGCGTTTGAGTCGTACCGATACCTAGAGCCAGAACCTACAAGAAAATAGAGATGGAAAAAAAGTGCCATTTGGGATATTTTTTCTGATACAGGAGGTAAATTAGAGCGTCTGCTGCGACGCAGGCAAAAATGAACACAAGACACTTAAAAAAAAAAACAGTGAGCGCTCGATGCAGTACTTTCGTTTTGCGAGCCCAGTACTAAAATTTCCGATAACTCATGAAGTGTGTCGAGAATTCCAATCCGGAACTCAGGCCTTTTTTTAGTTCTTCTCTCAACATATATCCGTGCATTAACAATGTAAATAAACAAAAAAATACGCGTTCGGCCAATTTGAAATACACGACCGATTACCCCCTGAATTGAAATCCACTCATGATCAATCATATTACCCTGCTTACATCTATACCCTCGACAAGAATAACTCCAAACACATCCAATTAAAACGAAAAAATGTAAATCACTGGGTCGCCTAGTAATATACAATTAGTGGAACAAAATTTTACAGATACTAAGTGCTTTACAAATTATTGATAAAATAACCATGAGAATGTGTATACTTTGTGTTTATCACGCAGTGTTTCATTTTGTTGCTTACAATAAAACCTCCAACAAGCAGCCAATTTTTGAACGGGACATTAACAATCGGGGTCCTAAAACCTAAGAGACTGTGCGCTTACTGGAGCAAAGGTTTCCGTCTATGGGAGCTGTCTAAAAGCAAAAATTCGCAATTACAAAGCAATAGATTCGAGCAAAAAAAATATTTGAAAAATAATACATAAAACGTTGGGTAATTAGATATTTCCTTTTGTAACTTGTACAAGCAAATCTGTTAAAATCATGATCTGACTTGTTGTTGTTTTTCTGCCACATTTGCTCATTCCTTGTGAGTCTAGGAGAGGATCCTCGGTTTTGGAGGGGCGAAGGGGTGCGCGTCCGAGTCTAAATCCGCCAACCTGAATCCTTTATCGGCTACTGCTTAACCATGTAAGGTCAAACTGACTCCACATTTCTCAGTACAAAGCTATCAAGCTGAACTTTTAGCCGAACATATCCATGCAAGTAACTGCAAAGGTACAGGTAGCCGCCCCTTACAATGCGCACTTACCCCAAGATTTACTGGTGTATCCTCCAAAAATGTATCTCCCGACCCTTATTATTGTCACAGTCGGGCCCTTGCCTTCACATTGGGAGTGAAATGTACTTGCAGCCCAGCCGTCCACGGATGCACGCCAACAGCGTTTCCAGAGAGAATTAACGCTTTTTGCAACAGGTGCCAGCCAGTTGTTGAACGAGGTTAAGTACTTATTGTTGCTTCCCACAATAACGGAGTCGTGCAAACCTGGGAGGAAAAAAATCTACTTGTTTTATTTGGCAAAAAAAAACGCTGTTATGGCCAAGAATATAACTAGAACTGTTTAAAAACGCTTCAACAGTTCATTTCCTTGCCAAGTGTAACGGCATCCAAGTGACAAGAGACTGGATATCAAGTGCCAATTTATTTTCTGGCGAGGAAATTTTTAGTATTTCAAATTTAAACTCTTGTGAAGGCTCCCCTCTCCTTTTCCCTTTAAGAACTTGTTACTCACAGGTCAACCTATAACAATGACACTCTTTTTATAACAATATGAAAGACCATCACTGTCAGTCCTATACAAATTTAACTTAAGAAGCCTGAGTGAAGTTGTGATAATAATGTCCTAGCATATATAAGGTCTTGAACTGGATATACGAACCTTAATGGTCCTTCAGTATCTATAATCTGTAACCATGCTCTCCATTAAGGATTATGTTACATATCACTAAATGTTCCATTTATGTCTGTGCAGACCTTGCATGGGCGGATCTAGGAGGAGGGTGCAGGTTTGCGCATATAATATAACTAGTATTCTGCAAAAACTAAAAATAAATAATGATAATAATAATAATAATAATAATAATAATAATAATAATAATAATGATAAATAATCTGATTTATTGGTGTTCAAGTAGTTTGGCACCGAAAAAGCCTTGTTATAGGCTCCTGGTTTACGTCACCAGTCAGTTACGCCATTCCTTAATGGAGCAACCCCACCTTAGAAAAATCCTGGATCCGCCCCTGCCTTGCCGCAAAGGACAAACCTGCAGCTGAGCTGCGTTGTACTGGCACATTGATCCTGGCCTTCTTCGTTCCAATGATGTTTGTTGCCACACATTCGTACAAACCGTTGTCAGCCGGGATCAGGTTCTTAATGGTTAAAGTACCCTTGTTTACCTCAGTCCTGCCGGCAGGAAAAGGTAGCACCGCTCGAATCCAGTTTACTGCAGGACGAGGATAGCCTTCTGCTTGACAGGTTACTTGAAACGTAGTGCCTTGTACTGGTGTGGCAAGTGAAGGTGGAACTTTTGTGAAGGATGGAAGACCTGAAAAAAAAATTATCTGGTTTATACTATGAAGCCCTCCTATAGTCTAAAGGATTGCAACTGAGAAAGATGACAATACTTAAATCTTTTCTTTTTCGGGAAACTTTGCACAAGATGTTCATCTGTATAACAGAAAGGAAAACGAGAAAAGAAACAAATTCAAATAATTCGTTAGCACTCTGTTAGTGTCTTTTTTTTAGAATTTGAAGTCATGGCTACGAAAAGTGTGAAAGGGTCACGAATCGACCTTGGCATTTTAGGGCCTGTTTACATGATGTGGGGGACCCCAGATAGGTGAGGTAACATGCGGAGGGTCACCCCACGTATCATGTAAACGTGATCAAATTAAAATGAGAGATTATGTGGAGAAGCGGTTTACCCACCAAAGCGGGTTACCTCACCTACCTGGGGTCCCCCACCTCCATGTAAACAGGCCCTTGCACGGTGTTTCTTCAGTGAGGCACAGGGTTGGCTCAATTAACTCTAAGGTAAGATGACAAGGGGAGTGTCCCTTGAGTTCAACACTTGTCTTACGCTAGAAGCTATGACACGTTAATAAAGTTATCAATTAATTGAGGATGGTGCTCTATGCCTTTACATCTCACAGGATTCCTTAGATGTTTTGAAACGTGCTGTTTAATTCTCGCAACCTTACCTTGCGAGGACATGTAACAAACAAAATTTAACGGCCTGCCATAACATTAAACCAAAAAAAAGAAAATTTCTCTCTCACCTCGAAGAGACAAGTTACCAGTTGCCTCGGACGATCCAAGAATACTTCTGGCAGCACATGTGTACGGTCCAGCATCGCTGTAATTCAGATTTCTAACGATCAACTCTCCTTCCTTAATCAAATACTTTGCACTTGGCTGAAGTTTTCTGCCCTTAAATTGCCATTTGACGACTGGGGAATTAGAACAAGAATCGAATCTTAAGACCTACGCACAAATTTCAAGCCAACTGAGATCTTGAAAACACCTACTTTCAATCGCTCTTTTAATCCCGTAAGGGTTAAGAAAGGTAATTAGACTGAACTCCTTTAAAAGAAACGGAAATATCTCCATGAATAATCTCTTAATACACGCCTTTTGTCTATACTGATCTATAATGCCTATACTATTCGAAAATTTATCCAGAAAGTGCTAAACAATGAACGAAAATAGCTCAATCTAAAGCAAACAGATAAACCTAAAAATGAATTGCCAAGAATCGGGTCATTATTGCTTGAAATTGGTCACGCAATACCTTTGAATTCCGAGACCCCAAATAACTCGATTTCAGTAATTCAAGTAGATCTTTCAAGCCTTTCTCCCATCCCATGTAGTGATAGTACTGTAAATAAGTACTCAGTACAGAGTGAAATATTTGATATATATGTGTAAGATCAATTATTGTATCTCTGTCCGTTAATTACCTATTTCACTGATACCATTTCAATGAATTTCAATAGATCTTTTGTTACCTTCAGGGTTTCTTTAGTCTTCCTCCCAAATTTATTACATTGTAACACACCGTATGTACTGTATAATATTATGGGAAATAATAAACTCAACTCAACTCAACTTCAAACCAGAAGCAAATGCATGAAGCTGTATAGTAATGATATCGACTATGTGTCTGGCGCGTAAAGGAATCTTGCTCTGTCCTTGTAGACACATTATTTATAAATTCAACTTCATTTACGCTGTAGATCTCTTCGGTTTTTTATCAGTGGCAGTGGCATAATTACTGACATCTAGGGAGCATTACAAAACAGTTTCATACCGTCTAAGTTAAAATCTGATACTATTTTGGAATAGCAATAAGATCCCGTGTTGTTAACGCGAACTCACGTCATGAAAGGTTGTGTCTTAACCGAGGGAGAATAAAAGCAGGTCTAAGCATCCTCAATGTACATAAGGCCATCCAAGTAAGAAGAGTAAGAATAAATTTTACCTGAGGTATAGCCGTTCCCATCATCTGAAACTTGTGTCTGCATCTTCTTGGAAAGGTCTATTGGGATTTTTTTTGTCGGTTAGAAAGTCATCATGTCAAGATTATCAATCGTGCCACGCTTAGTGCAAGGAACACAGTAAATACGAGATTTCAGAGAAATCAGTCGTTTGTTTGTTGCTTCATTTTTCACCCAGAGACATCCGCAAACTAAAACTAATACCACCGAAAGGGACGATGGTCTAATTGACGGAACAAACTCAAAAACTCGTTGAGATCCTTGAAGAGTTTACGGTTTTCATTTTTGTAGTTTTACGATCGTTTTCTTTCACAGCCACGCGAAGACGGAAGTTTGACGGAAAGTTGCAAGTTAAACCTGATCCGCTTCTGATTTAGCCCAGAAAAACAAGAGTATTAGCTTACAGCCGGGCTATTCTGCCGGTGGTAACTTTTCTCTTGTTGCACTCAAACGTGGTCAAAGTTCTGACAGTTTCCTTATTCTAAAATAATCGCAGAAATTAAACATCACGTTTACAGGAAAGGTAAGAGGTTGACCACGTGACCATTGGCTTTATTCTTCATTCTTGATAACGTGGAGAGAATAAAGTTTCTCTTTTTGTAACAAACATTCGAGCATGAGTAATTTTATTTAATTCAATTCTTGTTTTCTGTCACAGTCACTCCAAGTTTGAGGGAAAGTTGCAAGTTAAACCTGATCCCTTCTCATTAAGTCAGTAAGCCCGGGCTGCTCTGGCAGTTGTTTAAAACCTTTCTCCTGTTGCACTCAAACGTGGTCAAAGTTCCAACAGATACCATATTTTAAACTATCGCTGAAATCAAACATCACGTTTACAGGAAAGGAAATAAGGTTGACCACGTGACCATTAACGCTCATTATTGATATCGTTGAGAGAATGAAGCTCTCTTTATATGACAAAAATGAGTAATTTTATTGAATTTTAATTTTTGTCTATACATTAACAATTCATACTAGCCCGTAAACGCGATCGTTTATCTATTTACTATCAGTAGACATTTCCTATGAGTGTATATTACATCAATATTTTATATACTAGAACAGTCATAATGGCCACTGATGTGCCTCAGATATTATACGTAGGGCTTACATGAATTAGTAACCCAACGCTCTTAAATTTAATTACTACACTGCCAGAAGGCGATCGGGATTGTCAGGTGACTGCAAGCAGTCTATACCTTTATATGAGATAATTAGAGATAGTAATTTTAATCTTTGATTACTAATATTTATATAGCGGTATCCGGCATTAGGCACGCGGACCGAGTAAAACCAAACTTTGATCAGTGTTATCTCTTAAGACTCTTAAGTTTCCTTAGTGGATTATTATAACACTTATGAAGGCCAAGCCACAGTTACAAACCGTCAGTGAGGACAGCCTGGTTCAGTAAAATATCACTGTACTGCTTTTTTTTTTTCAACTTTGTTTACTCGGAAGCTGAGATTTCTTTGCCCTCATGATAAGGATGTAACTGTTTTCTGACAGATGACAGTATAGCTGTCCCCAGCTAGACTCGTACCCAGGTGAAAAAAGATTAGGGTTGGGTTAAGGCCTACGCTGTACTGTGAACAGCTTGGGAGATACTTTATAACACGCTTTTATCAGCCATTTATAATCAGAGCAGTTGGACCAGTTATAGATATCGAAATCATTTCTCTTTTTGACAATTCTATTTTTCGTTTGTTTGTAAAATGTTGTAGTATACGTTCTAATGATTGTGTTGTGATTTAGATATAAGGGGCTTGCTTAGTGCTGTACATTCGTTCACCTCTAAGCGTCTACTTGTACAATAAGCTCAGTTCAAATATCAAAGCCGGTGTCACGCATTATATTAATTAGGTTGTTTCGTAAAAGGTTTCAACTTCGTCTGGTGTGAACTTGGAAGTTCCTGCCAGGAATGTTCGTGCGAAGGTGCTGTACAAGCTGTACCCGCTCGGTGGGCTGTAAGTATAGCCAAGGCCGCTGTAAGAATCGCTATTAGATGACGCGTAGTTTTTGATGTAAATGTCAAATCCTCCTCCGAATGTAGGCCCATAGGATGAGTCAAAGCGTATGGAATATTTGCTAGAACTATATTGCCCTGACTGAGACAATTTGACAGGCGCCCATCCTGGCTTGTTTACCAGCGAAAATAAGAAGGCTTTTGAGTCGTATTGATACCGGCCAGAACCAGAAGCTAAAAGAAATGAAACAAAACTTTTCTAAGACAAGTTAGCGACATTGTCCTTGTGCCTGTCATAATGATAACGACGATGATGATTATTATTACACTAATTAAAAACAGTAAATACCTTATGTTCATAAAACAAATTCGATAGAGTTTCTCAGTAACGTTCGTCATTTATCAAAAACGAAATCAGTTTCTGTGTCTTCTTTATTATTATCATTATCATTATCAATATTATTATTATTATTATTATTATCATCATCATCATCATCATCATCATCATCATCATTATCATTAGTATGAATATTATTTTATTGCATTATTATTTACGTTCAGGTATTTTGGTAAAAGATACAGCTATACTCAGGGCAACCGTGGTTCGTCCGCTCAGGAGAAAGTTTTATGTGGCTGCAAGCTTACCGAGGCTAAGGTGCTGGCCTGTGGGAGATGTTATTTTTAAAAGATTTGCAATTACAAGCAATAGATCGGGGAAAAAATTAGTAATTAATAAGATATGTTCTTTTATAACTTTATGGAGCAAATCTCGAAATTTATCTGTTTTTGTCTTTTTTTACGACTTACCGAAGCTAGAAGCTTCGTTTTTACATGAACTGGTGCATGTCGCAATACACTTTTATTGGTAAATTAATACTTCGTTTGATTTTAAGGGTACTGTATTAAGAAGACAATGAAGGAAACAGATAATAAAGAGTTTTAGGAGCCTTTATCCTTGAAAAGGTATGAAACATTATGTATTTCTGTCACCCATTTCAGTCTATTAAGTTCGTTCGAATCCGAAGACAAGAATCCTTTTCGCAACATTTCGCTTAGACAAAATTACGAAAGTTTGATCGGTGAAATGAACCTTCGTCTTGGTGTATCACGTACGTGGACATGTCAAGAGAGCGTGTTTTTTCTTTGCCAAAATTTGCCAATTTCACCAAAAACTTGCGATGTAGTACGTTAGTCGCGTCTTTTGCAATATGGGAATTGAAGGATGGAAGATAGCAGGGTGGCAAGAAAGTCAGAACAATATCGATACTTTATAACCTAAAAATTATTTTTGTAATAGTGTTAACCTGGAATTTGGACCCGTTTTGACAGGCTAGAAATGCATCACTTATCATCTGCAGAATCAGAACTTGAGAAGAGGGGTGGGGGGGGTTGGCGCTCGTTCACTACATGTGAGTGAAGGAGGGGCGGTCCTCGCCCCTTGAGGAACCACGGGAAATGGGCCCGCATCTAGAGCTATTAACCTAGAACCTTTGTCCGCCACTGCTTAACCATGTATGAAAGGTAGAGTCACATGATTCCATATTGCTAAGTACCAAGCTGCACTTTTAGCTGAACATATCAATGCCAACTGATTACGTCAAAGGTATAGATGCCACTGCCATGGCTTACAATGCTCACTTACCCCATGAAATACTTGCGTATCCTCCGAAAATATATCTCCCGACCCTTATTATTGTCACAGTCGGGCCCTTGCTGTCACATCGTGAGTGAAATGTACTCGCAGCCCAGCCGTCCACGGATGCACGCCAGCAGCGCTTCCAGAGAGAATTGACGCTTTTTGTAACAGGTGCCAGCCAGTTGCTTAACGAGGTTAAGTGATTTTTGTTGTTTCCCACAATAACAGAGTCGTGCAAACCTGGGGAAAAAAATTCGAATTTTCCTATTTGACAAAAGAACTCTGCAGGGGCACCCAACGAGAATATAGTTCAAAACCACTTATTATAAACATAGCATTGTTAAACGTATTTTAGTATTGAAACGGTAGATATAGGCATATTTTTATCCCCTAAAAGTTTTTCATCTGTTCGGATTTCCTAGCTGAAAGTCTAGTGACCCGAAAATTATAGGGATCAAAACTTACTTTTTCGAAAATTCCAACCAGAAAAACGGCTCCCGAAAATTCTAGGTGACCTTTTTAGGGTAAAAATCCGTTAAAAATTGGCAATTATATTATTTTTTAGATGTTCGAAAATCCTAGCAGAAGCAGACAAGCAAGAAATTTTACAACAAATGTTCCGAAAATTCTAGATCTCAAATCGTCTTCCGAACAGATATTTGCCGAAAATTGTCGTTGGGTGCCCCTGACTCTGTTGAAGCCAAGTAGAACTATTTAAAAATTCGGCATCAAATGTATCCTGTATCAATTGTAACATTGCGAGTGACTAGAGGATAGATAGCAAAAGTCACTTTATTTTCTGGAGAGCAAATTTTAGGATTTATACTTAAACTCGAGTATAGGCTTCCCTCCTTCTTTCCCTTTAAACAATTGCTACACAAGCATATTCAGCCTTTAACAACGACACTGCTTTTTAACAATAAATAAAAGGCCATCACCAACGGCGGTCCTATATGTTTTACATTCCACTTAAGTATACACTGTAGTCTGAGTCAACTAAGCCTATTAAAGTAGTCTTAAACTGGATTCAGGAACCTTTGGTCTTGTGATCTCTGTGATCTTGAAGAAAGGTCACCTGGCGCCATTTGGGGCAAAACGTGGATAGCGCTATCCAGCGGATAAATCTCTATCCAGTGGATAGTGCAATTGGTTTCCCTAATACTTATCCACTGAATAGTGATTTATCCGATGGATAGCGCCATCCAACATTTCAACAACTGGGGCCTGATGTCACTGTGATGTTTATGTTGCTAAATGTTTAATTTATGTCTGTGCGGACCTTACAGCCTAAGACAAACCTGCAGCTGAGCTACGCTGCACTGCCACGTTGACCCTAGCTTTCTTTGTTCCAATGATGTTAGTAGCTACACAGTCGTATAAACCGTTGTCGGCAGGAATCAAGTTGTTAATGGTAAGTGTGCCTTGGTTTATTTTCGTTTTTCCAGCAGGTAAAGGCATTCCTACTCTTGTCCAGGTTACGACGGGACGAGGATAGCCTTCAGCTTTACACGTTACTTGGAATGTAGTGCCTTGTACCGGTGCAGCAAGTAAAGGTGGAACTTTTGTAAATATTGGAAGACCTGAAAAAATAATTATCAGGTTTACATACTAAAACTACTTGGACGACATCGGGAAGGAGAGGAGGTGGGTAGGGTACTCAACACAGTTTTTTACTTGGAGGCTCCGCCCCGTGGTCCAACACCTTATGTAATTTTCAACAGAAAAGGTGCCCCTTTCAAATACGTAGTTTAGAACTTTGCATGAAGGGAGATCACCGAACTGTCTTTAAAATATGAATAAATCACAAAAGTAGAAAAATTTCTCGAAATTTTCACATCCATAAAATCTTTCCGCTAGCCCTTTTAGATCTTCTTGCAGACCGAAATGACTGAGTTCCCTACTCTATTATGTACTTGAACTGGTAAAACACCGACCCTTTCATACAGTGTTTGAAGCCTCAAAATAGTACCCCCTTCGGAAGGAGCCTCCCTGTACAGAACATCAGAAGAAGTACCCTCCGGGGAACAGCAGGATTACAACTGAGAAAAATCTGACAAATTAGGTATTTTCTTTTCCGGGAAACTTTATACAAGAAATGTTCGTTTGCATAACAGAAAAAAAAAGGAGCGATGAAACCAATTAGTTATTAGCTGGCAAATCTGTTAAAGGGTTTTTTCAAGAAGTCGTAGTCTGACGGCTACTTAAGCCTTAAACGGATTCTGAAAGTGTGTCAAAATAGGTCAGGCGAGGATAATGTTCTGTCAGTGTTCCTTCACATCGCATAGTTTTCTTGAGATGTTTATGCGTCGTTCAATTCTCGCAGCCTTAATACCTTGCAAGAACATGTAACATATCATACTGATATAACAAACAAAATTTGACCGACTGTTATACAACAAGGCTCAAGAATGAAATGCTCCTCTCACCTCGAACAGACAAGTTAGCAGTAGCCTCGGACGATCCAAGAATGTTCCTGGCAGCACATGAGTACGGCCCAACATCGCTGTAATTTAGATTTCTGACAATCAACTCTCCTTCTTTAATCAAATACTTTGCACCCGACAGAATCTTTCTGCCCTTAAATTGCCATTCCACGACTGGAGAAGGATTTCCGGCGACCGTGCAATAAAATGCCGTATTTCCTGCCTCATCTCGTGTCTGCTCTGCTGGCGTCAACATCACTTTTGGAGCAGATATCGATTTTCCAGCCTTCCACGTGGTCCCGGCATGCCTTTTGGCCCAGTCTCTCCTTTATCTCCCCTTTCTCCTCTCGGTCCTGCGGGACCAGTTAGTCCTGTTTTTCCGGATTTTCCAGGAGGTCCCATGGGACCTTGAGGACCTCTCTTTCCCTTTGGTCCCCTCCTGCCACGTGGTCCCCTCGCTCCAATGGGAGCAGGATATCCGGGAGAACCTGCAGGACAGACTTTCTCACTTGACTTACAGTACTTGATGGGCATAAGTTGTTCAAACTGTTTGCTGATTTCTTTTCTTACTTCATGTATGGTAATACCGGTTGAAGTGTTGTTCAAAACGTTTCTTCGCTTTCTTAACCGGATGGTTGCTGATGCCTCTATTGTTAACGGGCTGACTGCAGTAAAGTAAGATTAAGATTTGTTTTAATATCCAATGATTAATACTGAAAATGTATAAGGGCGAGACAACGAACGAATCAACGGAATGAATGATAAGGTTGACATTTCTAACAAGTTAGTCGTTTTTGAGGTTGCGTTCAACAACAAGGTTAACACATTGCAACCAACTTCTTAATTTGTCCTCACGCCTCTTCCATTGCTGCTTCCTAAGGGAAAGCCAGGTGACATTCTAGATTTCTAGATCTACGTACGAACACATTTCAAACCGACTGAGACCGTTTGAAACGCACTTTCAATCTTACCAACCTATCGAAGTTACCAAAGGTTCTATTAAGTACGGCGGCAAGGCTCTTTAACCGAACTCCTCTGGAGGCATTTAAAAAAATATCTCAGACAAATTTTACGCCACCCTAACAATGTTATTCAGACAGTGCTATTTCAGACTAATTTTCCCCACTCGTTTTCAGACCAGACCACTAAAATTCATACCCGTTTTCAGACATGGCCTTTAGCCAGAAATTTTGCCATCATTACTTAGATTAGAGCTCAAACAAAAAAATTTCTTTAAATGCATTTCGAATTCACATATTTCTATTTCGTTCTTATTCATTTGCAATTAAAACGACAATTACGTTCATGTATACGCTCCCGTAGTTTCCTCGAAAACCAAACCCAATTCCAGACCAAAATGGGCAAAGTTTATACCCGTTTTCAGACCAAAAAGGCCCAAAAACCATACTCTTTGTGGCAGCACACACCTATTAATGGCTTATATAACGGAGTGCGCCCCTGGGTATTGACAACACATCTTGTACGCGAGCAAGTCGTTCGACACTTGAGCTATGAATTCAACATCATTTACACCGTAACTTTCTTTATTGTTTTACCAGTATAGGTGGCTTAGTGAATATCTAGGCAGTATTGCAAATTAAAAGAGGGAGAATATAACAAAAGGGTTATTCATACAGTGTTAGTTGAAATTAAAAATTCAATTCTGTTATGAAATATCCAAAGATTCCGTATCATAGCGAACTCACACCATGAAAGATTATATGCTTATAAAAATCAAAAGAGGATAAACTCAGTTCTAAACATCTACCTGCGTCTAAATAACATCTAAAGCGATGATTTTACCCGGAGTATAACCAATCCTTTTTGAAATGTTTGTCTGAACCTTCTTGTAAAGATCTCTTGCTGTGCCTTTTGTCGGTAAAAGAGATATCCTGTCAGTATTTTCAGTCGAGACTCTCTGAACGCAGGGGAAAAGGTTGATGCGAGATTCCAGCGCTATCAGTAGTTCGTTTGTGCTATCATTCTTCACCCAGAGACATCCGCAAACGAAAACTAATACCACGGAAAGGAATGATGGTTTAAGTGACGGAACAAAATCAAGGAGTCGACGAGATTCTGAGGAGTTCAATGATTTCATTTTTGCAGCTTGCCGGTCGTCCCGTGCTTATGAAGACGAGGGTAAGTGGGAACTTGCCAGTAAAACTTGATCCTTAAAAATTTTGCCAAGAGAAACATGTCACGACGATTGACGTAAAGATAACAAGGCTTCATTTGTAAGCAGTGTTATATATGGGACGGCACGGACCATAAAAAATGTAATTTATGAGGGAGGGTGGAGGAGGTGAAGTACAAAACGAAAAAATTCGTGCAAGGGAAAACTAAATGAAAAAAATTCATGCACGCCAAGTAACGCCAATAAATTCATGCAAAGGAAATGCTAACAAAAATAAATCCTACGATAATGCGACTTTCCTAATGGTCTGTCTCCTATAATTGACCTTCTTCCTGTTTGCTTCTTCGTGTTGCAGTAAAACGTTCTCAGAAAAGTAGCGGGTAAAAAGCGGAAAAATTTAAATATTGATATAAATGACTGATTCCTGTTTTTTGTTTGTTTTGTTTGATCGTTTTTGTTTTTTAATGATCCCAGCAATAATAATAGCGGGGCTCCCGCGCGCGCGAAGCGCGCGTGGGACAGAGCCCCATACCCATGGAATATGGTCAACCTCTTTTCGTTTGGTTGTCACGTGATTGACCGAGCGTACGTACGTACGCGTCTACAGATTGTACGGGTGGGGTAGGGGAGACTAGCAAAAGGAAGGGAGGGGTGTCTCAGGCGTGTCTTGGCAAGTCCACATCTTTAATATAGGATTTTAGTATAGGACATTCACAATATGGTCAATTGACAGCTGTCAAAACAGGATAGCCACTGACCAGTATCCCATGACCATATCACGGGCTCATATGTCAACTCATCGAGGTGACGTGATTTATTTGGAAGCTGTCCGCTGACCAGTTAATTGTTTTACTAGATCGCGAAAATGTTCAATCTCATACTTTTACTAGTTAAACTGATAATGCACACATATTGGACATCAATGTTTTGATCAATTGACAGCTGTCAAAACAGGGTACCCGCTGACCAGTATCACTTGACCGTATCGCGGGCTCAGGTGTCGACCTATCGAGGTCAAGTATTTTTTTGAAGTTATCCGCTGATAAGTTACTAGTTTTCAATTGATCGCAGGCTCAAGTTCAATTTTTTTCTAAATTCATATGAAATATGTTGTGTTTATGTGCTACACAATTAAAATTTTGATTGCAAACTGACCTTGGACGCGAAAATTCAGCCAGCTGTTACAGGCAGGGAAGACAGTTGCTTATGACTTTTCTCACCATGGTCACGCTCTACGTCCAATTTTTATGCTCTGATTGGTCAAAATTTGACAGGTGAGTTCATGCGGAAAATTTATGCAGCATCTTGAATCTTGTTTACTTTGCATTGACAGCTGAAGGTGGCAGAGTTTTGTGTCAACTTGTGATGTTTTTAACTGTCTTTTTCCACTGGATGTGCAAAATGAAATTCAGCTGCTATTAGGAGTCTTTTGTTATTCATGGCTAGTTTGTTTATTGGGTTTTTGGTTGAGGAATACGTCGCTTGTCAGAGTCGGAAATCCGATTTCGGATGGCATCGTTTTCGTTTTCACCTTGCTTGATGCGTAAGAGGATTGCAAAGTCTGAAGCGATACTGGCTTTTCTTGATACCTTTCAGGAGCTGCATCTCGAATGGTAAGCCAGAGAAATTATTGTATTTGATGTTTGTTTTTTTGTATCTAATTTAATGAATTCAGGCAGAGTTAATGCGGGAATTTAGTTTATGCACGTTTGTAAGATTTGAGACAATGATCTGACCGAGTATCAGGTTTGATACAAGCTTACTGAACTTTAAAAAGCCTTTAGACAGTTTCTCGCCGCAAATAGAAAGAAAACTTTCCAAAGAATATTTAGTTATAATTCTGGCCGGAAAAGAAAGCTTTGATCGATTTTCTTGCCTCGAGTTCGTCTTTGAAAAAAGCAACCACCGGGAAGCCGGCTTAAAACATAAACTTAAGCTTGAACCTTGAAGACTCAGGATTTTTAGGGATACTTTAATACTTGTATTCATGAATGAAAATTGTTGTCTCTGTATATGTTTCACCGAATTACATTTCTTTTATTGATTGTTAGTAGTCTCTCTTGTAATTTTATTCGCTGTGCCGATTGCTTTCAGTCGTTCAGTGAACATTGTTTGCAGGAGTACTCAAAATGTCGCGCGTTAAACCATTAAATGAAAAATAAACATAATAAGTTCTTTATAATGTTGGAGCGTAACTCTGTTAATGTTCATTTAAACACTCGCCACAGCTCGCACTACAAAAGTGAGAACCGGATGGCCGTATAGGTGATTTTGGAAATTTTTTTAACAGTTTATGAATATTGAATGAGTGCAATTTGTATCGTGAAATACTGCTTTCTGTCCGAGGTCTGCCGGTATGATAAAAACAGTTGGTTTACACGCACCCAGATTTGTTGACAAGATTTTGCAAAGTAAACTTGTCGAACGCAAAAAAGTTGGCCTGATTTTTTTCCCACTAATTAATCTACGGTGATCAAGAGCCATTATGGCACTTAAATGTGACCGAAGATGATTACCAGTTTTTGAGTGTACATATGAGGCTATCAACTCGATGTAAGATTTGGTTCACTCTTGGGCTGTTTGCAAATTATTTTTCCGCCTTTGTCGCCTTTCCCTCAAAAGTGACATAAATGTGCTCTAAAGTTAACTGAATTGTGGAATTCGAATACAAGTTTATTGTTTAATTTAAATTATAAATTTATTAATGGGAGCCTCGCTTTTAGCCCTGGCTAAATCTATATATTAATTTTTTCCAAGATCCATGATGCGTGTTTTAATTTTGTAGTCCATTTCAGCCTTTCATTGAGAACTCTGTTAACCATTGGTTTTAACCCATTCGCTCCTGGAGAGTTTGCCGACAAACGCGTTTTGAAGCTAGTCGAGTGGTTTTCTGGTCACTGTCGTGCTATAAAGACCTCAAACGTACCACAAACCGGTTTACAGGTCGTACACTTCGCGGCCTTCTGATCCAGATGCAAAATATCAGCTTGCGAAGTTCGGGCATGCGCAGAAAGCAAAATTTCGAGACTTTTACTTTTCGCTTTCTCGATCTCCTCCCCTCTTTTTTCGGTTTTCTCGCCTCATTTTTTTTTCCTCTTGCTGGGCATTTACTAGGCTTCTTT